GGAGCCCAGCAGGTCGAGGCTGCGGTGGCCGGGAGCAGTCACTGCACTCCAGTCTGGGCGTCGGAGTGAGACTCCAACTCAAAGAAAAAAGAAAATGTAGCAATGGGGTTTTGCAAAGCATAACATTTGATTTCAGTTAACAAAGAATACAATTACATGGAACTTATGGCTAGGGAGTTTTGTAACAGTCAGCAGGAAATGGTCAGCACAACCTGCCTAAAGAGGACAAAGCTGGGGGTCTGTGGTCATGGGAACGCTACTGTCACACGTAGGTATTGAGGAGTGATTTTAGGTCAGGCAGGCAACTAAGATGGAAGCTTTAAACAAAATGCAGTAAGCTGGTTGATACTATTATTTTGCTAGCAGTTTGATTTCATTAACTGATTTAGCTCATTTCACTGTGAACCGTCGACCTCAGGGGCTGAGGAACCAAGGGCTTGCTCTCCTCGGTTACATTGACTCCTCTTCATGATGGCTCCTCCACTCCTAGGACAGCTCGGTGAAGGGTGCTTGCTTGTGCCAGCCAGAATCAGGACAACCCAAGCTCCCCTCAATCCAGCACTTGCTTGAGTGCCGCCTACATGCAGGCACCAGGCAGGAGGTGAGGTACCAGGGCAGTACAACGGTCTGGGCCTCCCTGGTGGCCCCTGCAGCTCACTGAGGAGCACAGTGCTGGATGTATAAGGTGACAGCCAGCCCTGTGACACTGACAAACACAGCGTAGAGAGGTGTGATGGATTCGGGTCACTCTGAGGAGTCTTGGGGGCCCATGGAGGAGCAGGACACCTCTTGAGCACTGGAGGGTGGAGAGAAAATAGATTTGTCCTTAGGAATGTTTTCTGTTGCATATTCAAAAAATGGTTGGAGCCAGCCTTAGACCCACACGTTATGAGGGGGTCCCTGAGACAAGACCAGAAAGAAGTCTAGCTAGAATGTGCCGCTCTGGTGGGAGGTGGATAGTGTTGGGGGGGGGGTGCATATGAGAACTCTAATTGCCACTGCGTGTTACTGTGAACCGAAGAGTCCTTTAAACACCACCAACAAAAATCTGGTTGGCATAAAACCAGCTTCTCCAGTGCCACATTTACTGTAAGAAAATATGGAGTCCCTTAGGTTCAGAAGGGGACAGAGCAAGCAGCCCTCCCCCTAGGTGCCCTTTACACAGCTTCTTGGAAAACAAGGCTTCAGGCTGGGACGCCCACTCGTTTGGAGCCCCTTGCACCAGCACTGACATAGGCAGGTGGCCTTGGGGGTTACTTTGGACACAGCAGCAGAACTTTTATTTACAGGGTGCCAAGCAAAGAACCACACAGGTGCCACGAGGTGAGCGGCCGAATTGCAGCAGGTTCCCTTCTCCCCGAGCCCCTGATCTGCACCTAGCCTCAGGGCTGGGAGCCTAGCTTGTCTCAGGAAGAGAGCAGGCAAGGAGCTGCCAGCCTCTTGGGAGTCCTGAGGGGTAAAGCCACAGGTGTGGGATGTTGCCACACGTGACAGTGACAAGCCACAGCAGGACCTGGGCCCATGGATCCACAATAACATTAAATGGGGGAGGAAGGGGTGAGAGGACCTGAGCAGTGTGTGGACATGGTAACCACACCATCTGGTGAGCATTCAAGTCCAGAGCATCCAAGCCAGACAATCTTCCTTGTTTTATTTTAGTCCAGGCAGTTGCATGTGGCCATATCGTCTAGATCAGGGGCAGCAAACTCCCGTAAAGGGTCAGATAATAATACTTGAAGCTCTGTGTACCCCTGGCCGCTCTGCCGTTGTGGAGTGGAGCAACCTCAGATGGTGCCCAGAGGGGTGGGCATGGTACGTTCCAGCAGAGCCCCATTTACAAAACCAGCCAGCTGTCCCGTAGGCCGGACTTCACCAAACCTCATCTGGAAGGTGTGCGCACATTGGCTCGGTGTAGGGTATTCCAGGAAGGTGGGGCATAGAGAAAGCCTTGAAAGGTCACTTTTCTCTAGATCTGTTGCTTGCTGTTTGGCTGTTCGCATTTGTCTTTCCAGAGTTTTATGGGAGACAAGTAGCACCTTGAACAGGGCTCCAGCATTCACAGGCACTGATAAGTGTTCATTGCATGGGGGGCCCTAAGACCTTGTGACCGCAAATCTACCACAGCACAGCTGCTCTGGGCCACACAGTTGCATCATCCCTCCTCCCTGTGCTTTGTCTTTGGAATAACTGGTCTTTCTCGCCTTGATAGGAGGTGTCGCTCCAGGATGTCCGGAAAGAAATCAACTTCTGCCACAAGGTGAAACTGCCCATCATCGGGGTAGTAGAGAACATGAGTGGCTTCATTTGTCCCAAGTGTAAGGTGAGAGTGTGTAGTGGCCTGTGTCCAGCCAAGACACCTGCTTTGGTGGTAGGGAAGAACAGGAAGGGCTCTCCATGGAGAGTGTCTCTGCCTTCCACCATGTCCAGAAGTGAGATTGCAGGTGAAGTCCTTTGTGGTTGCCTGAAGGAAAATGCTTTTGGTGTTGCGTGTTTTACATTCAAAGTAAGCCTTGTTTAAAGAAAGTTTGCTTGAAACATGGTCCATCCTTATGATTGTACAACAAAATCATGTTTCTTCCCTTTTGATTTGCCTCACAGAAAGAATCCCAGATATTCCCTCCGACGACTGGGGGTGCAGAGGTCATGTGCCAGGACCTGAAGGTTCCTCTTCTTGGCAAAGTGCCTCTGGATCCGCGCATAGGTGGGTGACACCCCCATCCCAGAGCAGGGCCCTCACTTCCTGGTCAGCCCCCACAGGCACAACACGGGGCCAGGCACCAGGGAGAGACCATGGGGCATTGGAGCCAGACCCTCTTTCCCTCCAGCCTATGGCCTCAATGCCGTAGAAGCCATGGGAGAGAAGCCAGGAGCCATGCAGGCAAGCAGGCCTTGATGAGGAGGGTGGCAGGCTGCTTGGAAGAATGGGGTGGAAGTTGCTGAGAGGGGTAGCAGCAGGGGATGGGGTGGGCACAGGAAATGGGTACACCGGGGGAGGGGGCAGCTGTAGGGGATGGGCAGGGAGGGAGGAGGGGCTGAGTGAACTCCTCAGGAAGGTGCCCCAGGTTCTGTCCTCAAGAAACCCAGCACAGCCCCATCTCCAGTATGGAGACAGCCTGCGCTGTCAGTGAGCACGAGTCACTGGCCTGCAACTGGTCTATGACAATGCTCTTAAGTACCAGGATCCCAAGAAATACCCACTCTGTGAACAGCCTCCAGGAGCTGAAGGGAAGATAGCTGGTCCATGCCTCTACTCCACACCCACCCCAGGTGTTGGCTTGCTGGGGGAGGGGTCAGGGCCACCTGCACTCTTTAAACAACTCCCCTCTCCATGTTTCCGTCTCCCCAGATGACAGAGTTGAGCCTGTTCACATTTATGTGCTTGTGACAGGGAAGTCGAGCGTCGCGTTTAGGTCTGAGGGCAGAAGCGAGAGAGAAAGTGAAAAGGGAGGTTGGCACCCAGTAGTGGTCAGCCCTACACGGCGCCTGGGAGCTTGGGCTCCATTCAGGGCATGTGAGCCCGTGCGGGACATCTGCATGTCTGAGCAAGTCCAGGAGGAGAGATCCAGGGAATGGCCGTGTGGCTGGAAAGGGGTCTGAAGTGAGGTCTCAGGGCCTGGCATTGGTGTGGAGGGGAAGGGATACACACAGGGGAGAGTGATAGGATCCAACGGCCTAGGATGTCCTGCCACCCAGCATGAGCCACCTGGAAAGGGACTGTCCCTCAAACGTGGCAATTGGTACCACAGTTGACACCGTGAAACAGCAGAGGTGGGTTGAGGGGGGCCAGTCCCTGTGGGTGCTGTGTCAGAGTTGCCAGCAGGCTGGGGAAGCAGACGTCAGGAGAGGGTGGGTTGTGTCTGTCCAGGTGAGCATCGAAGCCACAAGAATGGATGCAATTGCCACAGTGCCCTACAGAGAGGAGGGGCCAGAGGACGGGGAGAGGCTGCCTAGAGGAAATGGGAAAGGGGGTGTGAGGGTTGCTCTGAGGATGTGAAGAGCCCAGAGAACCCCAAGGCCCTGGGCACTGGAGGGTGTGTCCCAAGGTCCTTCTTCCCTTGTTCTCACATCCAAAAGCCCTTTTCTGGTGTATGGTTTCCCCCACAAAATGCAGAACACTCCACCTGCTTTATCAGCCTTTCTTGGTGTTGTGAACCCCCTGCCAAGCAGTTTTTGCATTGCCTGGAAGTGGCACTGAGTTTCCCTCATGCTTGGTGAGAGCAGGAGCCTCCCTCAGAGCCCCCAGAGGCACGTGGGCCAGGTGAGTGAGAGTGGGTGAGGGCAGGCTATGGCGGCCTGGGGCATACACTACCGCCACCGCCAGCCTGCACCTCTGCCTCAGTCCAGGTCTGCCAAGATGGGATTGGTGAGCTAGAGGCTTATCAGGGGCAGGGACTACAAGAGAAAATGAGGAGGGCGTGCCTCAGCCTGGGATGCAAGAGAGAGGGAAGGGCTCGGCCCTCAGGAGTACCTCGGCCCATGGAGCCTCTCGGCCCACAGGAACATCTTAGCCCACTAGAGCATCTTGACCCTCAGGAGCCTCTCAGCCCTCAGGAGTATCTCAGCCCTCAGGAGCATATCTGCCCACTGGAGCATCTCAGCCCGCTGGAGCATCTGAACCCACAGGAGAGTCTTAGCTCTTTGGAGTATCTGAACCCACAGGAAAGTCTTAGCCCAGCCGGGCTCAGTGGCTCAGCCTGTAATCCCGCGCCTTTGGGAGGCTGAGGTGAGTGGATTGCCTGAGCCCGCGGGTTCGAGACCCACCTGGGCAGGCGAGACCTCATCTCTACAATAAATCAAAAAATCAGCCAGGCGTGGTAGCACGCGCCTATAATTCCGGCTACTTGGAAGGCTGAGGCGGAAGGATCGCCGGAGCCTAGCAGGTCGAGGCTGTGGTGGCCGGGAGCGGCCACTGCACTCCAGTCTGGGCGACAGAGTGAGACTCCAACGCAAAAAAAAAAAAAAAGAAAGTCTCAGCCCACTGGAGCACCTTAGCCATTTGGAGCATCTGAACCCACAGGACAGCCTCAGCTCACTGGAGCACCTCTGCCCTCAGGAGCATCTAAATCCATAGGAGAGTCTCAGCCCACTGGGGCATCTCAACCCACTGGAGCACCTCAGCCATTTGGAGCATCTGAACCCACAGGAGAGTCTCAGTTCACTGGAGCATCTCAGCCCTTTGGAGTATCTAAATCTACAGAAGAGTTTCAGCTCACAGGAGCATCTCAGCCCTTAGGAGCATGAGGACCCACAGGAGAGTCTCATTCCAGTGGAGCACCTCAGCCCACTGGAGATGTGAACCCACAAGAGAGTCTCAGCTCACTGGATCACCTCGACCCACTGGAGCATCTGAACCCATAGGAGTATCTCAGTCCACTAGAGCACTTCAGCCCTTTGGAGCATCTGAACCCACAGGAGAGTCTCAGCCTACTGGAGCATCTGAACCCACAGGAGAGTCTCAGCATGTTGGAGCATCTGAACTCACAGGAGGGCCTCAGTCCACTGGAGTATCAGCATACAGAAGTGTCTCGGCCTGCAGTAACTTCTCAGCCCGCTGGAGTATCTCAGCATACAGAAGTGTCTCGGCCTGCAGTAACTTCTCAGCCCGCTGGAGCACCTCAGCTGCTGTACAGCTCTAAGGCAAGTTGGACACAGCACCAGAGCATTGTCAAGCCCAGTCTCCCATCATGGGGGCTGTGTCTCAAGAATGTGCTGTCAGTGGTCAGGGCAGCATGGCCTTGGCACAAATCATGGAGATGGATTCAGCAGTTGCTGCCAGAGGTCTAAGAACTGAGTCCTCAGGGCTACCACAGTTGCCACATTTTTCCATTTTTCAAGAAAAGCTAGCAGTCTTTGTCTTTACCCCAAATCTTCCGATGACTGAACACTGCACCGAGCTCCACTTGTTCACAACACTGCATGCTGACCCCACCAACACCAACACCTCCAGGCCCTGCCAGCCCACAGGCCTGCCACCAGTGTCTGGTAGAGATCTGGAGGTGACCTGATCTCTACCAGCACTGATGCGATCCTGGTGTGGCATTGTTGCCAAGAGCCACCTCCCTGGGTCCCCATCACCTGGCTCCGGCCCTGGCCCTGGCCTTTCCTTTCAGGGTGACTTTTCACAAAGAAACGAGGTTTGCAAGAGTTAACAGCAAAGCAGAGGAGACCCTGATGGCAGCTGCTGAGCTCATTCTGAACTAAGAGGATTAAGTGCCTTCTGGTGGGCATGGTCCTGCATGACAAAAGACATATCCCAGAACCTTGAGAGGAAACCACAGATGACAGGGCCAGAGTGTCAGAAGGGAGGGGTGGTTGACACTGTCATGCTCCCAGAAGGGTTGAAGGTGAGGCTGAGTGGCAGATGCAAGGTCGCTGGGGACCAAGTAGGGGCAAAGCCACCTTCCTAGGAACAGGGAGGGTATTAGGACATGCACTTCAGCCCCCTCTGGCAACGTAGTAACAGTTTCAGATGCCAGCTCCCTGGTGCTGTGGGTCCCAACCCCTCCCTGGACCCACACCGAGGATCACGGGAAGGGCAGAGGGTCAGATCCCTGCCCCTCCACAGCTAGCTGTAGGACTTGGGCAAGTCCTCAGCAGAGCCTTGTCTGCAAAATAGGGATGATGACAATCTGCTCAAGGGAGGCCCTGGGTCAGGGCTGGGCTCCAGTTCACTGTTCTCCTGATGGCGATACCTGATCTCCAGGGAGATTCTGGGAGACTGTTAGGATGGGGAGTCCTCGGGGAGGGAGGCTGGGTGGAAGTCGACAGTAGCCCATGCATGACTATCCCTGATCTGTAGGGGCTCCCCAAGGTCCCAGGCTCCAGGGCCCAAGTGGGTTCCCCCCTCCCACTGCCCTCCCCACAGGCTCTTTCCCCACTCAGTGTCCTTGTCCCCTGGGGCAGTACACTAGGGTAGTCAAGGGAATGATCAGACAAGGCAGACGTTGCCGAGGTCTTCCTGAGGTGGGCAAGTGGCTGTGGGCAGTGCTGCCACTTGGCCTCTTTCTCCAGGGCCCAGGGAGCAGGTGGAGCAAGCTAATGGTGAGCTGGCAGAGCAGATGGGGCAAGGAAACCGAGGATGGCCCCAGCCCCCTGCGTCATGTCCACCTGGTGCTGGATTAGCATGTGGTTCTAGAGAAACCTGTGTGTGCCCAGGAGGGGACTGGAGCTATGGCCACACAGTTGGGAAAGTCCGACAGGCACCAGTGTGGGAGCTAAGAGAGAGAGTTACACATGGACAGAGCAATGGGAAGAACGTGTGTGTGTGCACGCCACATTTAGACGGGTGTCATGCCCTGGACACGCCTGGAGCTCTTGTAACCCTTTCTGGACTTCATGGACAGTTTTCTGTGTGTTTTTTTTTTTTTTCCCGAGTGCATTCGTTCTCTTTTTACTCAAATAGCTAGTTAATTCCTTAAAATTCAGACTCCCAGGCTTATCCAGGAGCTGCCAGATCAGTCCTCTCTGGGGTCCTGGAACCTGCATTTGCCACACACCACCCTGATGATTTAGTTGTATTGAAATCTAGCCAGGGACCTGCAGGAAGGAGGGTCCCAGAGGTGCTGGCCTTCATTCTTTACTTTGTTCTCTATCCTGAGTGAGGAAGCTGCTGCAAGCTGCAGATGTCACCAGCACAGAAAGAGCCCAGGATCTTGTGGCCACTGTGCTCGCATAGATTCAGTTTTCTTTCATGTGTTTCTTTAAGGTAAGAGTTGTGACAAAGGCCAGTCTTTTTTGGTTGATGCCCCGGATTCACCAGCCACATCAGCCTACAGGAGTATAATTCAAAGTGAGTATCTTGGGGTGGAGGGGGTCTCAGTGCACACATCAGTACAGATACCCACGGGGCTGGAAGGAGCATGAAGCAGCCAAGCAGGTGGGTTTTGGGAAGGAGAGTCCTGGACAGATTCAGAAATGGCCCTCCACCAGCCTTGGATGGGAACAGTAGGGTGGTAGGTTCTGCGATGCCCACAGAGGAGACCCTCAGCCCAGGAAGACAGGAGGCCATGAGAAATCTCCTGTGCATCCATGTCAAAAACGAATGTACATAGTGTACAAAACATGGGGTGGGGGGTGATATTTGTGCCATAGGAAATACATCTTAATAAAGCCATAAAAAGTTTGATTAAAAACAAAATCAAGCCACGGTGAGGTGAACTAACACAACCCACATGCAGGCCAGTTCAGCTGACAGGCCTGGATGATGGCAGTGGTGTCAGCAGTGACAGCTGCGCTGCTCAGTGTGCAGTTGGGCTTTGCTTGTCTGAACTGATGGCGTCAAGGGTGAGGAACAGCATCCCTTCGCCACCTGCTGATGGGCCTATGAAACCTCCGCCACTGGTGATGACTGTGTTGGCAGATCAGGGCAGCACAGACAGCCTTTTCTGGTGTGAGGCCGTCAGGGGATTCTGCCTCCACTGCAATGCTGCCCTCGCTGGCACAGGGCAGGGCTGCTGAAGGGCCACCAGCACTCTGTGGCCTCATCTTGTTTTCCAGGAATCCAGGAGTTTTGTAATCTCCATCCGTCAAAAGCAGAGCAGCTTATCAGTTCCTGAAACACGAGAATGCTGAGAGCCCGTGCGGTTACTGAGCCAAGGTGCCCACCAGACACAGCACATCCAGCCCACCCAACCAGCTCGGGGACAGGTGGGGTCATGGACAAAAAGGGACCATAGAGCTATGTGGTTTGTAGCCACTTTCTCAGAGAGACTTTAATCACTGAATATTTGTACACTTTTCTTCAGAACACACATAAAGGGCATTCTTTCCAAGTATGCCATTTAAAAAATAAAAACCCCTCCTCAAACCTTTCCAGCAAGGCCTGTTTCATGTAAAAAACACACAGGTTATGGGCTGTGGGATTCTGCTCTGTGGGAAGCTTGTTGGATTGTAGAAACTCCCACTTGGGCCTTTTCTGCCTCTGAAAGTAAGCAGGCCTGAAAAATAACCACAAGGCGAGTGCAAGGCCTCTCTGCAGACCACCCAGGCCTGTTCCCAACAGCACAGTCAGAGATCTGTTCTTTGGATGGAGAGAACTAACCAGCCGTGGTGGGTTCTAACTTGCTGCCTTTGATGGCTCTAGGGGAGGGAAAGGACCACAGTCACTCGACGAGACAGAATCTGTGGGCTGTGTACACAGCCTGTCTCGTCATCTGAGTCCATACAGCCAGTCATTTCCAGTGTTATATACAAAGTACTCTTAAGGTTTTTGCTATGACATAAAAGAGGCAGACATAAACGTGAATCGTCCTCACTGCTGTGAGCTGCTCACTCTGAAATATGCAGGAACTGAGACTAGCTGAGAAAGAGTAAATTCCTGTTTTCCATCCACTCTGAGCACCCAAGTGGATGATGGGCAAATCCCCTTGTTCTTCCCCTCCCATTCTCTTGTTCCCCTCCCCACTTCCCTGCCTGCACACAGTTGGATCTGCAGGTGTTCTGTATGAGGAGGGTGGGGTCCCCCTAAAGGACATCGAGGCTGCAAAGCCCGGGTAGGCCCGGTACCCACTTTGGGGGCGCCTGGCTAGGCACCTGGCCAGGCACCTGACCACGCAGACCTTGGCCCCCCATGTCCAAGAGCTGTGTTTCCCACAAGCTCCCTGGCCCTTCCAGATGGTGCTCACCTAACGCTGGTGAATCTCCAGCCCCTCCAGGCCAGGCTTCTGAAGGTCACCTGGGCAGGCCTGCAGGGGGAAAGGCAACATGGTTTTCTCTCCTTGCATGTGAATGGGCTGATCTGCTGATTCTAGGCCAGAGAAAACTCATAAGATACAGAAAACCTGCAGAGCTGGCCGTTTGATGTCTTGGCCTACAGTGGCACTGTTCACATCTAGGATTGTTCAGACCATTTCAGGACGAACCTGGTCAGATTTAGGAGACATCTGTTCCTCACTTCTAGAAATATTTAAGTTGAAAAACAATCACTAAAACTAACAGTGGCAGTCACAAAAGGACAGATACGGCTGGGCATGGCGGCTCATACCTATAATCCCAGCACTTTGGGAGGCCGAGGTGAGAGGATTGCATGAGCCCATGGGTTCGAGACCAGTCTGGGTAACTTGGTGAGACCTCATCTCTACAATAAATTTCTTTTTTTAAATTGCCGGGCATGGTGGCGTGTGCCTGTAGTTCCAGCTACTTGGAAGTCTGAGGGGAAGGATCGCCTGAGCCCAGCCAGGTCGATGGGTGACAGAGTGAGGCTCCAACTCAAAAAGAAAAACAACTGTATGACTGCATTTATAGGAGGTTCCTGGAGGAATCAAACCCATAGAGACAGAAAGTTGGATGGCCCCCAGGGCTTGAAGAGGGGTGTGTGGAGTTTATGTTTAATGGGTTCTGAGTTTTAGTTCTACAGGATGAAGGGTGTTCTGGATATGGGTGGTGGTGGCTGCATGACAAGCTCACGGTAGTTAATGCCACAGAAATACACTTTAAAATGGTCACAATGTAAATTTCATGTATCTTTCACCCCAATTTAACAAACAAAACTAATCAATGGCAGCCTGACTGATGTGGAACACATGACCAACTACATGACCAACTGCAGTTGCTGACAGACCGCTTCACTCTGAGCACCCAGATGGTCCAGGAGTTGGGCCTCAGTCACTCACCGTCTGGAACACTGTCTGAGACAGAAAACTGGCCGTGACCTTGCTGATGTCACTCTCACCTCCCATCTTACAAAGGATGTAGCCATACAGGTTGGCAGCTTGGAGAGAAATCCCAGCGATCACAAGAGCCTGCATGCAGACAAAGCCAAGGTCACTTTCCAAAGGACATTTACAGAAATGTTCCTCTCAAACCAAGTAGAAGTGGCTCTGGCCTACGCCTGTAACATTACCAGGCGACCCTTAATGAACACTCAACAGATACCCGTGGACACCTCTAATACCTCTGAGTCAGCAACCCAAGAGGTTGCTACCATCACCTTCCCATTTTACAGGGGTGGGGAGGAGAAGCCGGGGAAATGGAAGCTGCCCAGGCCACTGAGCTGTAGTGGGGTCAAGCCAGGATCCAAACTCCAGAGCCCATACTTCTGATGAAATCACACCATGTTTGCAAATACTGTGTTTTCTCAGTGAATGGACTAGATATTGGCATTGAATTACGACGCCTCTGAAATAAAACATCAGAACTCTGAGGCTAGTTTATTCCTACCTAAAAGGACTCGCTGGCCAGGGTAGGATGTCATAAGCTTTTTAGGAAGCTCCTTTCTCATCAGTATTATTCATAAGAATCCAGTGACCATCAACAGCCACATCTCTACCAGCTGATGATTGGATAAGTAAAACATGGAGTGTTACTCTGCCATAAAAAGAAAGCACTGGCACATGCCACAACACGATGGACCCTGGAAATGTGCTCCGTGAAGGAAGCCATCACAAAGGACCACATGTCACATGATTCCATGTGGACGCCATGTCCAGAACAACCAAGGCTACAGAGACAGATAAGTGGGTGCCTGGGGTTGGAAACAGGGGAGTGGGGGCAATGACTACAGGACATTGTTTCTTTTAGGTGATAAAATTGTCCCAAAGTTGGTTGTGGTGATGGCCACGCAACTGTGGCTACACTAGAAGCCACTGAATTGTGCCCTTTTACAATTTTTATTTTATTGTAGAGACAGGTTCTTGCTCTGTTGCCCAGGCTAGCGTGCAGTGGTGAGTGGGGGGGATCATAGCTTGCTGCAACCTCGATCTCCTGAGCTCAAGCAGTCTTCCTCCCTCAGCTTCTCAAAGTGCTGGGATTATAGGCATGAGCCACGCACCCAGCTTGAACTATAATGTTTTAAATGAATTATTTGGTATGCGAATTATATTTCAAGAAAACTGTTACAGTGACCAGTCCATCAGTAATAAATAATAACACCCACTCATGCCACTGCTGGTATGTCAGAGCAGCGCGGAAGTCAAGGCCCTTGCCTTACCAGCCACTTGAGCTTCAAGGAAAACAAGGTGCTGAAGAAGAACACGATCCAGATCACAGGGCAGATGATGAGGCCCAGCCAGAAGATCCGCGCCTCGGCCTCTGTGGCGGTGATGCTGCTCGGCGAGCCCTGTGGCGAGGACATGGTTCCATTTAGGAAATGTGGAAGTCGTTGCCAGCAAGCATGTACACATGTCACTCATGCGCATGCCCTCTTTCCACGCGTGCTGCACGACCACAGCTGTGGCTTCGTGTGGATGGAGTCAGACGTGCAGGAGCTGAGAAGGCACCCACGGGAACGTCCCACACCCGCCCTCCCAGGCCTGGGTGGCTCAGCTGATGTGGAGGCACCTTCCTGGCTTCAAAGACCCAGTGGCTTTTCCCATCCTCGTCTATCTGGTTCCACCAGCGGAGGCCCACCAGGAGTCTTCCGGTCACATTCTGAGGACAATGGACAAATGACTGTGAGCAGGCCACGGGCCGAGAGGTGCCATCACTGTTTTGATAAATGAAATAAAAGGCACTGGTTCGTGTACCAGGAGCAAGAAGAGGCATTGAACTGCAGTGGTTTCTCAAATCAGTTTTCAAGGATTCTATTTTTAACTAAGCTTACTTTTTTTTTTCGAGTTGGGGTTTCACTCTGTTGCCCAGACTGGAGGGCGATGGCATGATCACAGTTCACTGCAGCCTCTACCTCCTAGGCTCAGGTGATCCTTCCCCCTCATCCTCCCAAGTTCCTGGGACTGCAGGCATGTGCCACTATGCCTGGCTGATCGTTTTGATTTCTGTGGAAACAAAGTCTTGCTATGTTGCCCAGGGTGGTCTCGAATTCCTGGCCTCAAGTGATCCTCCTACCTCAACCTCCCAAAATATACTGGGATTGCAGGCATGAGCCACCACATCCAGCCGAATTAAGCTTACTTTAAAAAGTGGCACTTTAAAGTGACACACATGTAATTTATATTTTTATATTCATATATATTGAACATATATATCATACATAAATTTTACAAAAAATCCAAAGTCATAGGGGTTGTCACCCTCTTAGACACATGTATAATCCTGACAACTGACACCCAGAAGCCCTTTATTAAACACTCAAACGATGCATATTTTCCTCTGCTATCTCAGCATTCTTAAGTGTGTCTGCAGTCTAAACCAAAGTAACTCTTGGGCCCACGAGCATTGGGACTGTCCCCGTCTGGGCACAGCCTCTGTCTCAGGAGTGGTGCCATCCCAGGAGAGGGCCTCACCTTCACAGACCAGAAGTCCAAGGACAAGAGGAGCAGCACGGTGACAAAGCAGCCCACAAAGCTCTTGCTGAACCAGTCGCAGCACACGTAGGTGACGATGGCACTCACTCGGAAAAACAGGTGGAAGAAGGTGGCCAAGGGGTGCCTACAAAAGGAACCCAGGTGGCGCCTTCACTCCAGGAGCATAGGGATGGACAGAGCCCCTCCCTGCTCAAACTCTCCCAGGAGGTGCCCTCGCTCCAGAAGCCCAGGGATGGACACAGCCCCTCCCTGTTCAGACTCTCCCGGGAGGTACCCTCACTCCAACAGCCCAGGGATGTCACGGAACTCCCTCCCCACCCAGACTCTCCTGGTGCTAGTGGATGGGGAGTGGGAGGGAAAGGGCCATCCTCCCAGGTGCATCTCAGGTGCGGCCTGAGACGCATCGCCGTCGGCAGTGCCCAGTCACGATGAGACAGCAGTTGTGCTTCTCACCCTTGAAGAATCCAGTACTTTCCCCCAACTGGACTCCAAATACCACTTGCCCCCTTCGAAAGTCACTTTGAAGCAGAGCGCGACACAGTCACTGCCTTCCCATAGAACAGCGACCATGACCAGTTCCCTAAAGGTCAAGGCTGGGCTTTCCCGCCAGTCACTGAGCACCGGGCTCACGTGCAGCCCACGAGGCCGCCACCTCGTGTCATCAGGGAACACTTGTTCCTGGACAGAGAGAAACGATCGTGACATGTGAGTAGTGAGCCTAACTCATCGCCGTTGCTCAGTGGTGAGTGGCACTTGAATGCTGACACCTAAACCAGGGGAACATGATTTGTGTCACTGTGCCTTTTGGCACAAACCTGCCCAGAAAGCAGCGTGAGCCAAAGGGAACATTCTCGTCCAGTGTCAATTGCTTGTTGCTGTTTTCAAGTCTGAAAGCTAGATGAGCACAAGTTGTTAAACAGGGTCACCACATTGTCTAGAGCAGATAAATGCCTACGGGGTCAGGCAGGCGATGACGGGGGATGACAGCCCAACAGAAAACACTATGGCCTTCTGTTTCGGAGGCATCCTTGTGCTGCTAGAGCACGCAGGTAGAGAGCAGTGCTCAACTGCGAGCAGGAGAGCAAGAGGGAGAGCCCTGCGGTGGGTGGCCACTAGGACGGCACTGAGTGCTGGGAGGAGCAGGGGCAGGGGGAGGGGCCCCGCCTCAGCACAGACCCCTGTGCAGCCCAGACCCAGCACTGCCAAAGCTGAGACTTCTGCAAAAAACCAGAAATCAGCCGGGCTCGGTGGCTCAGCCTGTAATCCCGCGCTTTGGGAGGCTGAGGTGAGTGGATTACCTGAGCCCGCGGGTTCGAGACCCGCCTAGGCAACTTGGTGAGACCTCATCTCTACAATAAATTTTTAAAAATTAGCCGGGCGTGGTAGCGCGCGCCTGTAATTTCAGCTACTCAGAAGGCTGAGGCGGAAAGATCGCCGGAGCCGAACAGGTCGAGGCTGCAGTGGCCGGGAGCGGCCACTGCACTCCAGTCTGGGTGACAGAGTGAGACTCCAACTCCAACTCCAAAAACAAAACAAACCAGAAATCCAGACTCGCCATGGAAAGTTTGATGTTTAAATGATGGCAACTAATTATTATAATAAAATATTGCAAGCTGTGTTTCTCACCTGTCTGCGAGCAAGCTGTCCATTGTAACCTCAGGATTAGAGCTGCAAGACGCTGTAGAATTCACATGAGAGGCTGGATGGGTTGACCCAAGAGGCCCGTAGAGCTGCAGGGGAAGAGCCTGCCTGACCTCCCCAAGGAGAAACAGGGTCAGAGTGAGCAAACTCTGGGCGCCTTACAGTCATCCCCATGGGAACGTTCACCGAGACTCAGAAGCAGAAGGCACAGCGACTCTGCATGGCAAAATACTACCACTCGCCAGGACGGTTCTCATGGGTGCCTTTCATATTCTGGGCTCTCCTGAGGGCCCGGATGAAAACCAGCCCAGTATTTAAGAATCAGGGTCATGTAGAACTCCAAAACTTCCTGGAATGTTCCGGAAGATAAGACTTTCGGGAGTCTCTTATATCGTTTCTGCGTTAAGCCTTATTATTTTTCAGCTATCTGAATCTCGTGTTGCTTTTGCCTCTAAAGGTAAATGAATGCTCTTTCAGTGACAAAGTTCTTTAGGGTGCAGACATGTGTAAGGTATTTTTATATCCACAGCGGCACCTGGCATCTAAGATTCCCGGCAAGTATATTTGTTGTGTTAAACCTTGTAATGGAATCAGTCAGAATCACTGAAAACATCTGTCCTCTTTGTAGAGATGTAAAAACAATACAGATCTTAAAAGAGGTCTGAGCATGAGTCAAGCGTACACTGATCGGAGTGAACGTGGAAGTGAATGCATTCAAATAAATCCCCTGCCTGTTCACTCTTTTCTTTTTGGTTGTGGTTTTTCTAAAATAAAATGCAGAAAAAATTCCAGTTGCTGGAAGTTACCCTTTAGCTGTGTCCTGATTAATTAACTGTAGGTGTTATTGTTTTTCAAACAAGCCCAAAGCAAATAGAATAGCTTGCCTATTGCATTTTTTTTTTTAAAGATAGAGTCTTGCTTTGTTGCCCAGGCTGTGTGCAGCGGCACACTCATGGCTTACTACAGCCTTGAACTCCTGGCTTCAAGCGATCCTCCTGCCTCAGTCTCCTGAATAGCTGGGACTAGGCCTGCACCACCATGCCCAGATAATTTTAAAAAAATTTTTGGTAGAGACAAGGTCTCACTATGTTGCCCAGGCTCATCTTGAACTCCTAGCCTCAAGCGATCCTCCCACCTCAGCCTCCCAAATTCACCACGCCCAGCCAATTGCATGAGAAGATGTTGCTTTTGTCCTGTTGTATGCAGGACGCTCTCTCAGCACATTCCAGTTCTCATTTACATCTGGAGTTTGCCCAGTTCATGCCTCCAGCTCTTACTGTGTGGGCTCACAGTTTTCTGGTTTTGCAGGCCATGGCCTGAGCCCAGTCCACTCTTCCTGCCGTGGGTACTCTCCTCCTGTCACCTCAGCAGTGCGGGGCACACACACTGTCAATCATCTCACTTCTCAGTGCCACTGCTTTCCAGCTCCACCCTCTCTTGCCCCCCAGGGACCCACCTGGGAGGCTGCCCCTTGAGAGGCAAACAGCCAGCAGTCACGGCCACCAGCCATGGCTTGGGCACTAGACCACCAGTCTTGGCTCCCACCTCTGAGTAGCCCTGTGGCCTTCCCTAAGCCACAAAACCCTGTGATGCCTGAGTCTCCTCTTCTGCAGAATGGGCATGCCAACAGGACCCACTTCCTGAGACACAGATGGTCAGTGAGGGTGGGCCAGAGTGATAGAGGCACATGCCATGTGGATGGCGGATGACACCGTTGCCATCTCTGGCCCTCAGCATGACCTGTCTCCACTGCCCTGACCAACTCTCTCCTGAGGGGCCTCCTTTTCTTTTTTTGAGTTGGAGTCTCACTCTGTCGCCCAGACTGGAGTGCAGTGGCCGCTCCCGGCCACTGCAGCCTCGACCTGCTGGGCTCCAGCGATCCTTCCGCCTCAGCCTTCCAAGTAGCTGGAACTACAGGCGCGCGCTACCACACCCGGCTAGTTTTTTTTTTATTTATTGTAGAGATGAGGTCTCGCCAAGTTGCCCAGGCGGGCCTCGAACCCACAGGCTCAGGCAATCCACTCACCTCAGCCTCCCAAAGGCACGGGATTACAGGCTGAGCCACCGAGCCCGGCTGGGGCCTCCTTTTCATCCTTGTGGGGATCCCCCAGGGTTCACCTTGGATGGGGGGGTGTTCTCCATGCATGTCCAACACCACAACAACCACCCCCAGGTAGAAGCCTGTTTCCCAAGGAGAGGAGAGAAACTTACACGATGCCAAAGGGGGAGATGAAATGACATGGAGTGTTGTCAAGGCGAAAGTGTCCTCACGGGCTTTGCTTCAGCTTTCCTGTATATCTGTGTATATCCATTTTTATGGCTCTGGGCCCCCATTTATATGGCTCTATTGTCCCCATACCACCCCGCCCCCCCGGAAGCACACTAGGTTGCCATCCTGGAAAGTGCATGCAAGTCACAGTCTCCAGCTGTGCACAGGACACACAGGTTCAGATTTTGGGGTGGGGGGAGGGGGAGACCTGAATGCAAATTTTACATAGGAAAAAGCACAGCTCTACACCACGCTCAGCAAACTATAGCCCAAGGGCGAAGTCCAGCCCACCACCTGTTTTTATAAATAAAACTGTATTAGAGCACAACCACATCCACTCATTCACTAGGCTGCAAAGCCAAAAATATTTATCCAGAGCATGCGCCCTGCTCCAGACTAGCAAGAAACTTGGTCATGAAATCAAGCTCCATCCATTCAAAACAAATCTAAGTGGAGCAAACTGCCCCCACCTGCTCCCATAGCCCCCAGAAATCTTCCAAAAGCTTGGCTGAGGATGGTGACTCATGCCTACAATCTCAGCTCTTTGGGAGGCCAAGATGAAAGGATCGCTTGAGGCCAGACGTTCAAAAGCAGCCTGGGAAACATAGTGAGACCGTCTCTACAAAAATAAAAAATTTAGCAGGGTGTGGTGGCGTGCACCCATAGTCCCAGCTGAGGCTTAAGTGGGAGGATTCCTTAAGCCCGGAAGGCTGCAGTGAGCTAGGATCACACCACCGCACCCCAGGCTGGGTGACAGAGATCCTGTCTTTAAAAAAAAAAAGCTGTGGCAGTTGCTGTCTGACTAGCAGAACCAAGGGATGGTGTCAGAAGTTGGAACAGTGTCATCTCTGGGAGCCAGTGAGGCGGGGAGGGACTGAGAGGGGCCTGAGGGAGCCGTCCAGGCCCTGGGATGCGCTGGATCTTGATCTCACGTGCACATGTGTGTCAGAATTCACTGAACTATGCTTATAATTAGAACATTTTACCCTACATATGCTACACCTCAATTAAAAAAAAAATCCTAGGCCAGGTGCAGTGAGTCAAGTCTGTAATCCCAGCACTTTGGGAGGCTGAGGCAAGAGGATTGCTTGAGCCCATGGGTTTGAGACCAGCCTGGGCAACTTAGCAAGACCTTGTCTTTACAATAAATAAAAAAATTAGCCGGGCATGGTGATGCATGCCTGTAGTTCCAGATACTTGGAAGACTGATGCAG